GCCCCTTGGAAATTTGATGTTCTTAAAACTAGCATATTTGCCCTCGAAGCTTCGCTTCTCGGGCAAATATTTGTTTTAAGAACATCAAATTTCCGTGGGCCAACTATCAGCCGATAGTTCCTCGACAGAAACACTCTATTGTTTAAATAGAAATCTCGAGCTCATAATCTAATTGTTTAATATAAACACAATTTTTAACCAATCAGCACGCGTATTTTCTTAGGGTTGAAATCTAATAGACTTTGTATGTATGTATTGTTATTTAGAAGGTCCCTGCTAATAGCGCTCGTATGTCTTTTCTTATCGTACTTGCTGTAGGTCCTGGCCTGACAATGTTCATGTTCTTCAAGCTTGTTTCAAACTGACGGAAGTGGCAAGGAAACATGGAATTAAAAGTTTTGTTAGCGAGCAAAACCTTAAGGAAGTATATTCGTATCTACGCCTGAATCTTTGTTGTGCAAGTCATGTTGTACGTCTTCTTACCCTCAAGATCTTGTCGTGTTTTGATCAGCCAGAAAGGAGTTCCTCAGATAACAAGGTACAGTACAGATTGAAAACATTGTGTATGCATGCTTTCAGGTGCTGTAATTATTTGCACAGTATTTTTACAGCAATCACAGACTAGAGCATCAAATGTTTTCTGTCCACACTACGCCGGAAAAATTTGAAAACGCAACAATCACCGGTCATTTGTATTTGTATTTGAGAAAAACTCGGGCAGGGAAATCATATCAGTATCGTGGTGTCATCGTTCTCGAAAAGATCCTTTATCAAAGGGTTTTCCGTCCACACTAAAACGCAAATTCCTCCGCTTTGAACAGCGTCTTCGAAAAGTTCCGTCTTTGTGATGGAGTAGTGTGGACGGCAGGCCTACCCGTGAATCAAAGATGCGTTTTCAAATGTCTCTGGTGTATTGTGGATGGGGCCTAGGATGTAAGTTGTTAGAACTTCAATGAATGATGTACATAAGTTGCTATTTTGCGTAGCTGTTGGTTGATAATGCATGTCTGTTGATACACTGGGTGAGGTCATCCGAACAAGAACTGCTGTAGATACAGCAGGTTCAGGATGCTATGAAATGTAACGTGANAAGCGCGGGAAAACGAGTGTACACGAATCACGATTGGTTTTGGTTTTACTCCTAATTGGATGAAAAAGTGTCGCGAGTTTTTTAAGCCAAACGTGTAGCAAACTGCTCTACGGCATATTCAGCTTTACCTTGATCTGTACTTTGTCTTACTTCGCTTTTTTTTTTTCAAAATTGCACAGTTGGCATCTTAGTTAGTCTTAAAATTGTAAACCTGTAGTTGTACGGTTACAGTGTGTCACGTACGTTTAATGTTCTCCTCCGCTTTGCTACAGCAATGAATATTTTGTGGCGATGGAAAACGTAGCCCCTTCCCAAGACATCCGAGCCAAAAGCAGCTCTGAACAACAGGGAAGGCCGACAGAACCAGAATCCACGGAGAATGAAGCAGATAACACTACGGAGGAACCACAAGGAAACCTTCACAAAAGGCGACACAAAGCAGCCACCAAGTCTCTTTGTACTCATCTGACTCTCTTCACAGCTTTTAAAAACCCGAAAGCGCTCTTCAAAGAATCCGAAGTAAGGCAACTGTTTATGAGATTCTTGGCTCACAGAGAGGCTGAGGTTCAGAAGCTTTCTTTCCAGTGTCTCTTGACGTACAAGTTTCATTATCTGGAGTCCTACAAGGAGAATATTGAGCGCTTATTAGACGATGAGAACTTTCGAGATGAGTTGGCGCATTTTTCGGTTGATGAGGATAACGGAATTGTGGTTAAAAGCCATCGAGACGGGCTGATGCCAATCCTTATAAGGTAAATGTCTAAGCAGTCATGTTGTTCTTTATACCTTCAGACCAGACACTCCTTGTAACTTTTGTTACTGAGATCACATCACGTGATTGCGGTATCAGAGAAGTTACGAATGACGCTTGCGTTGTATGGGAAACAGCAAAAAAATGAAACTTTTGGCGTTCCTTATTTAGCCATTTGAACACTTAATTGAGGATATTCGTATTTTCTGTGAATAGGAGACTTTTTGTTTTTATGTGTTGGATTGATTCAGGACTAGCGGGAAACACAGCAAAATCAGAGGAAATTTCGCCGTTTAACGTAAACGTCATTCTGAAACTTTTTGTTAATTATTACAAGTGCGTCTGTGCGCAAATTGCTTCGTACATCAAGATTAACGAAACGTTTACTGTGGAGGAAATTTCTTTATAATTATGATTATGATGAGGATTATCTCTCGTACACAGACTTCTTTACGGAAAAATGCAGAGGTGGACTGGGGCTGGTACCGGGGGAAGAGCGGGCGTCGGAGTGAGGCGAGCTGTAGTTCTGAGGTTCCTGGCCTCTTGTCCTCAACAAGAGATACAAATCTTCATGGATCTCATTTTGGCGCCTTTTAAACACCTATACACAGGTAAATTATGGCATTTTGGGGGAAAAACGATTTCACTTTTATTCTCAGTTACGGGATTCAATGCTAATGTTGTAAATCCTTATTGCTTTTTCGTATGAGCAGCAGATGATCCAGGCCTGATTGTTACCGCCGCTACAGATCTCTCTAGTGTTGTCCCTGTGAAGAAACAACAAGGGTTTCTGGGAATGGTGTCGCAGATCCTGAACAAGATGGGAAACCTGGCGTCGTCTTTTCTTCCTTCCATCCTGCAAATCATCCTGTCATTGCTGTCAACCTGCGTGTTTGCTCTCGAACACCGGGAAATGGTTAGTTAATACCGGTGGATAAACACGTGTGTGAGTGATCAAGTTGTTCACCTGAGGATAAGAAGTTGAGGACGATTATGCTACTGCTCTGATATTCTATCCACTCTGTGACAGGATTCAAGGAGATTTACCACTATTTACAATGCTACGGGACCCTTTGAATTAACGCCCTTCAGGGCGGTTTGTAATTCGTGTCCGTCAATCATACTGTACGTTATATGGAAAGAATTAGGCTTTATTCTGTGCTTTATGATGTGGCAAAGAATTTGGTTTACGGTGCGGCGAGTTATCATTTTACTTAACAACTATTTTTTCAACGGAATGAGCAAAGAGTGAAGCAAATAGTCGAGTAAGGCAGATTTCTCTCTGCCCAAACATAGTGCTTTTTTAACACTAATGCCCAAACCTTTTTCTTTTCTTTTCTTTTTTTTTTTCAGGTTCACCCGTCTTTTGTCTCTCAGATGAAGACGGTTCGACAGTTGGCCGTTACTCGCTTGACGGAATTTTTTGAGTTTATGACTGACTATGACTTCAAACCCATTTGTGAGTCCGTGTTCTCGTCAGCCGTGTGGCCTCAGGTAAGACCATGCACTGGACATACCTAACACATCCAAGATTGTTTGAGTAGTAATACAAGGTGTATAGAAGGCCGTGAAAGTCGCGTGGTCATTGGAGAGAGAAATGCATGTTTTGGACTTGTAAAATTCAATCGTCATCGTGCTTTTTTAATTTGTTAAATTCAAACATTTTGATTTTTTTCTTTCAGATAGAGAAGCTTAACCAAGAGAGCATTCAACATCCAACGCCATTGCTCAAACTTTTGTTTGCTTGGTCGAAGAATTCTCGTTTCTTTCCTTTGCTCTCGAGAAAACCAGCTGAAAAGCCTGACTTGTCAATCATGTACTGCGTGTTTGCATGTCTGCGTGTTCCGTCAGTGTCAGAGGATGTGGTTGCCATGGTTATTGAGATGACCGACAATCTTCTTGCTACGAGCCAATCAGAGATGGGAGATGAAGAAAGCGATTTATTGGAATGTGGTTCCGAACTGACGTGAGTAAATCGCCCACAACTGTACCTTGTAACTAAACAAAAACTAAAATGTCTGCTTGCAGAGGATCATACAATGAAGAATAACATGCAAACTGCTTGAGGCCCCTACTGGATCTTTGTTTGTTTGTTTGTTTGTTTTTTTGTGTGTGTAGTGTGTAGCGTGTAGCGAGTAGCGTGTAGCGCGTAGCGTGTAGCGAGTAGCGCGTAGCGCGTAGCGTGTAGCGTGTAACGTGTAGCGTGTAGCGTATAGCGTGCAGTGTGTAGCATGTAGCGTGTAGCGTGCAGTGTGTCCAGACTACATACGTGATTTACGTTCAAATCGTGTTTTGAAAACAGGGGTCTTCACGCTGCACTTAAAGAGGCTATAATAATAAGCTATTCTATTGCCTTTCTCTCACAGAATAACCTGGAAATACGACGATGATATCAGGCTCAGCTATGGAACGTTATTAGTTCTTCCATACATCTCGGAGATCTTGGAATATCTGAGTCATTCAGTCCAACGAGCTATCGACAACTCAAAAGGAAAAAATAAGGGGAAAGTGATTCTTCCGCAACGAGAGCTTTCAGTCTTGTCTAAAATCAGCCCATTTGTGAAAGATGCGAAACAGTCTGCTACATTAATAGGCGTCCTTCTGCCTTTCTTGAGTTCTTCTCAAAAGGAAGAAACTGCGAACAACATTCTGAAAACTGTTCAAAGTCTACTGGCCAATGTGGACAGACCAAAAGACTTCGTTACACCTTTGTCAAAGCTGTTCTCGCAGATTAACACTCGCAGTACAAGACAATGCTTGTGTGATGTGTTTCTTGAGCTGGCAAGTGTTGATTCAAGCTTCTCGTCGAATGCGTGTGAAATTCTTGCTCGTTTGAACGCTTGGAATTCAAAACGCGTCGAAGAACCTGATTATGATGCACGACTGGAGGGCTTTGCCAATGCTAAGCTTCTGGTCCAGCAAGACGCTTTGGAAACAGATGAAATTCTGCCATTACTACACAACTGCATCTATTTCGTGTTGTGCAGTGACGACTTGTCCATCAGAGACAGTGCAGGCAGCTGCATGAGTTGCATCGTGCGTTATGTTGTACAGCGGGGTGGAGTGAAGGACGAGAGATTTCATGTGCTCATCATGAAGTGCCTGTTACCGGCTTGCAGAAAAGCTCTCTCTTCAAAGAAGGAGGTACATTATTGTAACTTACGTCTCATTTTGCTTAGAACCAGTGATTTATCCAGTAGCGGTCAATTATAATCCATTAGAAACGATGCCTGGTTATCAGATATTTTACGTTTCAAAAGCTCAGTTTGTGCGTGAATGTATAAAAAAATAACACTGACGGACCTGTACGAATTTCTATCCACAGTCAACCAGGAACGAATTCCTAGATGTGCTTTCCACGATGGTTCGTGAGTTTGAACACGATTCTTTCACAGATCTTAAGGTTCTCCTGGACGATGATCCCGAGAAAGACTTTTTTGAAAACATCAAGCACATTCAGGTATGGGAAAAAAGTACTTGAGGCAGGATCTTAGCACTCATTTTCAGGACGAAATTCTTCTAGTTTCCGCAGATATATTAGTGCATGTCCGTCTTTTGCCCAATAATGTGATGTACACCATAGTTTTCGACAGTTTATCTGAAATACACTTGTCAGTGAAGTAACTTCACTGCTACCATTATTTCTTGGTGGTGTAAAATGTTAACTCTGCGTCGAGCCAAGTGATCCATATAGCGGGAGCTCATACGAGTTTCCGTAGCATTACGCGCGGACTAGGAATATTTCTACTTTCCCCCACCCCCCTGGATGGGATACTACAATGCGTCCATCACAGGGTTAATTCACTGGTTTCTATTTATCCACCCGGGTGGCGTGACGTACTGTGAGAGTAAAGTGTATCGCCAAATTTCTTGGTTAACCAGAAAATAAAAGGTAAATAAGATTCCTTGACCCTTTTAAGAAACAAATGTCAGGCTATACTTGAACACTTCAGAATACTGAGTGCGGAGGGCTAGTACCACAGTTATTTCACAAAACTGAAAAACATTTAAAAAATATTGCTTTATTTTTGTCGGCTTGGTCGCTTTGCATCGTCAAAAATAGTGCTTCAATTCCCATCAGAAAAGGATTTCAGTATGACCCGCGGTTTTTTTTCCGTTACAGCTCCATCGTCGCATTCGCGCACTTCGTCGCCTGCAGTCACATTGTCAGCAGCACAGCCTCAGAACCACAAGCCTTACAGCCTATCTTTTGCCATTGGTAACACACTGTGTGTTTGATCACACGGCCGCTAAGGAGCACAACCTTGTCACCGAAGCAGTTACCACTATAGGAACAATATCGGCAAGCCTACCCTGGTCCAAGTACTGTTCCCTACTGAGACACTATTTGAAACTACTACCTGTGGAAAAGCATTCCCAGAAAGTTATTGTTAGGTACGGGCTTCCTGCTGACTTTACAGGTCTGATATAATGACTCTGAGAGTTTACCTCTCCGATGATGAACAATTTGTTCGAAATATGCTGTGATACTTTCATCTGGTCCGATGAGCATGTCTCGACGGTCTGCAGAAGTAATTCCCAGTCGGAGAGACCTTGGAGCAAATGCCTGGCAATAGATGTTTCCTTTGAATCTACATGTAATGTAATATTCGAGTCACTCCACAGTGGTTGCCTCGGTAGCTCAGTGGCTAGAACAGTTTCCATGAGATCGGGGTTCGTGGGTTCGAATTCCGCTCGGGGCATCTGAAGTTTCCGCCTTTTTTTCTGTTTGATATAGATAGGCATATCAGAGTTCACCTTTTTGATGATAAACAATTTGTGCGAAATATGCCGTGTTGCTTTCACTGTACAGTGTATCTACCACATTGCTCTGAATGTGTCTTAATCTTCAACTTTTGTTGTCTCTCTTTCTCAGAGTTGTGGTACTCATTCTGAACAATTTCCACTTTGACCTCAGTTCTGTTCCTACGCAAATGGAAAAAGCTAAATTCACCGGTACGTACGATACAAGTAGCTCTAGTTGATTAGATAGAACCAAAGAAGCATCCGCTGCAATTCTTAGCTGGGGTATACGTTTGTTTTATGATTTCAGTGAAGCGTCTAGTTTAAGAACTCTTTTAGTTTACTGAGACATCAATGTCATCTTACACAAACTTCCTGTTCTTGACAAAATGTTCGATCATTGAGTCTTGCGTCAGTTTCAGGATGCTATATTACATGTACGGTATATGTGCAGTAAAATGTATAGATCGTTTTCACATGACGTCACGGCATCCATATTGTTGTTCCAAAAAAATGAAATGGCGGGCATGTTGGTGAACCAAACCAATCCTATAGGAGTTGAATTCTTTTCTTATGTTTCTTTTATTTCAATAAATTTGCATGTGTACTGGCCACGTGATTCAAAACGCTCCATGTAGCAGGCTGAAAGTAGATCTGTACCGTGTCGGCGTTATCCCCTAATCAACAGAAAAAAGACCAGCAGCCTAGGATAGCTGTCTTGACCATCTTAGGTCTCGTTAGCGAGGTGGCTTGACAGGAAAGGAAATTGGTTTACTCCAGATCATGTTAATTGACGTAGTTAGCCAAGTGCAAGATGAATTAAAACACAGCTAAACACCATTCAGTGTTCTTTGACATGCCTTTTTTTCTCGTGATGTGTATTGACAGAAACTAGCCCAGGTGTTAAAAACACAGAAGCAAAAAAAGTTGACAGTGAAACTGTCAGAACGGAAGATCCAATTAAAAGATCAAACGAACCTGATAGTGGAGGTGATGATGATGATGATGATGATGATGACGATAAACACGATGAAGATGATGAAAGAGGCGAAGAAGAATCAGTTGCTAAGGAAGAAGTATCTGATCTTTCCAAGGAGGAACTTGCTTTGCGTATCTACAACACAATAACTTCATCTATTCTACCGCAGCTACACAAATGTGTGACCAAAAAGGTGAGTTTCTAAAGGAGGGCCTTTGATGGTGTAAAAATAGCTATTAAGTTTAAAAGCAAAAGTATGATTGAAACGATTGAAGCGGATGCAAAATTGCTGGAAAAAGGTGACACTTTTACCAACCTATTAGGTCTCCACTATTGGCAATAAGCTATGAAATATCCTTTCATTTATGTTTCTCGTTTTACCTTTTTTTTTTCATTTAGAGCAAGTCGGCTGATTATCACCGGTTGAGTCAACTGAAAGCTGAAGATGAAGAGGAAATGTTACGTGTCCCCATCATACTTGCCATTATTAAACTCCTGCAAGCTTTACCCGAGGATGCGCTTCACTTACATCTGCCAGGGTAAGAAATCACACAATACCACATGGTTAACTTGTCTTAGTTTATTCTTTCATTTGCTTGTTCGTCGGTTCGTTGTTTTGTTCCTTCGTTCCTTCGTTCCTTCGTTCCTTCGTTCCTTCGTTCCTTCGTTCCTTCGTTCGCTCGTAAGTTCGTTTGCTTGTTGGTTGGCTGGTTGGTTGATTGGCTCGTTCGTTCGTTCGTTGATTGTTCGTTGATCAGTTGATTGGTTCGTTGGCTCACTCGTTGAACGGATTAACTTGACCCTTGATTCTGAAAACAAAATCATCTTCCAGCACGCTCTTCCCGACTCATGACTGGAAACGTTCTCTTAGACCAGTATACGTTTCTTTAACGCGTTTTTGTGGTCATGGTGTTTCGACTAACCTGTTTTGTATTTTCTTGGTATAGCCTTCTTCTCCGAATCTGCCACACGTTAAAGAGCAGAGCCCGAGAGGTCCGTGATGCAGCACGGGATACGCTTGCGAAGATTGCTGTTTCTCTTGGAGCCCAGTACTTTTCTTTCGTATTAAAGGAGCTCAGAAGTTCGCTTACAAGAGGATACCAGGTAATCCTGTTGTGTATGCAGATTTTACGTCAAAACTTGAGAACTTTGTCTATGCTCTTGTCTTGTAATTTATTTAATGTTCTTGAATCTTCAGTATTAATATATGAAAAGATTCTAATTTGCGACCTTTCCAGCGTCATGTCCTTAGTTTCACAATTCACACGGTACTGGACAAAATGAGCGACAGCCTGGTACCGGGGAAACTGGAACCGTGTCTACAGGGATTAGTAGAGGTGAGAAGATACTCTAGCAATATTTTCTTGGTTGTTTGGTTGTTCGTGCGTGTGTCATTTTTGTGTTTTGTCGTGCACTAGAAATTCTTTTTTTGTGTGTGTTTTATTTGAGAATTTTTCTTGCCCTATTTCTCTGAGGAAGTTTAAAAATGTAGGTCCCATTACGTAATTGCCCGTTGCTGCAGTGCCAATCCGTTGTGAAACAAAACATCCTAGGCAGGTGATGATAAGTATCCACCTTGGATTCACCTTACACTTGAGAGACATGAACTGGGTATGCATAAAATGATCTGTGCCCTTGAAGGCTTCAGGCTATAAAATTTTTAAAGTGTGCCCTTTTTTATGTTTTTGTTTTTGTTTTGTTTTGTTTGTTTTTTCTGGTTAACCTAAAACACATCATGAATTAACAGGCAAGTCGATTACTCGGTTTTGTCTTTGTTTCTCGTAGAACAGCAAAAACCTCAATTCAATTCTGATTAACCGCCATGGAAGCATCTTGTAAACACTAAATCAGATTGTTTGGGAATGTCGATCTTCGGGCCTATCAATTTTGCGGTGTTGCCTAAATTTCAATTTCAATTGCTCTTGGACGAAAACGTATCGGATTACTATTTAATAGATAACCAAGCATGGGCATAGCGAGGTTTGTTTATATGGAGAAAAACGCTGACAAGTCATGATAAAAATGAGTAGATGGCATTCATGCATTACTTATAATTTCCGGAAAAAGAGATGAATGCTTTATAACAAATATTGTAAATTAAAGTCATTTTTTNGAAGAACAAAGTTGCAACACAACTTACGGCCAAGTGATCTAGTGGCGTTATAAAGTAGGGAGAGCTATTCCAATTAATTATTTTTAGTGCTTGTACGCCCTGAGTGCAATACAAAGTTAGTAAATAAAAACCCATTTACTCTCAGATTTTCTTGGTTTAATGATTGTCTGATAATTTAAATGAAGCTCATGTCCACAGCATTGCTATTTTAAGCCTGGTTTTCACTACGACATAAAAACCAGTAGAAAGGACGCTTACAAAACACGCCTAAGCACACGGTAGTGACGACGCGCACAACATAAACATAAGCACAAGCACAAACAGAACAACAGTTTTTGTTCTTCTTATGTTATTGCTTATTTCAAGCGGGAATGCGCTGATTTAAGCGTAAGTATAAGCAAAAGTCCACCATCTTGTTTTACTTTATCGAGGAGGTATGGAACCGAAAATGAGGCAATTATCCATTCTGCGCGTGTCTACGTGCACGGCTTCTGCTGACTGCCAAACTGGACTCAGTCAATAGCCTTTTGGCTATGCTCGATTTTTTTCATCGAATTGTTTTCAAAATGGACAACTTGGTATGTTTGACTATTCCACCTTGATGGAATGCTTGTCTATGGGATGTTAGCTCCCCTTCCCCCATTTCAGTCATTGCATTGCTTCCACAAAGGCGCTTTAAGAGTAAATTATTTTAGTTACCTAATTGGAGGAAAAGATTCTATCCGCAATCCAAGACACTAAACGTTAGTCCTCCGCACCTTGTGCAATGAAGTAAGTACATTACATCAGCAGTCATTATCATCCCCGATTATGGCTCCTGCTTACATGGTATGTGTAAAACAGAAAATTGCTCCAATTTAAACCGATTAAGTATAATGATTCAATAAAATGCGAGCAATTCGAACATCCCCAACCTCCAAGAAGACCGTTCTTTTCGTACCTTTCGTCCTCCTCTAAACACCTTGTTTAATTTGGTCTAGAGTGGGGTGATTCTGCCGACTCTCCCCTCCCTTCACCTTTTTCGACAGTATGTTTCTGAATGTTTGCAAACGGCATGTCGGAAAGAGCCCATTCAAATCTTGGAGTTTTTTCCTGCTCGATTACAAAAGGCAATTTTTGGGCTTCACAATTAAAGCCAACATTTCCTTCTCATAATTCTTCTTCCCTTTCTAAGGTGCTTGTTGAAGACTTATTTGGAGAAGCTGCAAAAGAGCGAGAAGTGGAAAAGATTGCCAACAAGCTTCCTGAAGCGAAGACATGCAAGAGCTTTGATACTTTTGAGATTCTTGCTAAATTTGCAGGAACGCGATCCTTGACTGGTTTGGTTTCTCCTTTGAAAGAGGTGGGTCTTAATTTCAGTATATCATCAGCACACTAACAGACGAGAAACATCTCTCTTTTGGTATGTCTCATTTCTGAGAATGGTTTAGCCCGCGGTTTTCGTCAGGACGTGTCTGAGCACGATAACTTGTAGTTGTGCTGCCATGCTAATGTGGCGTGGTACTCGCGCTGGTTTCTGGTTCGCTTGTTCGCATAACCCGAAAAAGCGGGGTATTGCCTGAATAGACTACTGTAATTAAATTGCTAAACAGTGAACGATGACGAAAGAGCCCTTTACGTTTTGCAGGTTCTTGACTCGACGCAAAGTCACAAAACGGCTCGTCGAGTTGAAGAGGTTCTGCGAAGGATTGGAGTGGGACTGCAAGCAAACTCCAGCATAACTCCACAGATACTGCTCATGTTTATCCACGGAATTACTCGTGAAAATATTCCGCTTTTGAAATCAAAACCAGAGTAAGTATTGGAGATCCTATTACCGGCCCAGATCAAATTAATCCCACATCATTGCGTTAAAATGTGTTACACCTT